TGTAGAGTTCGCTGTTGTTTTCTCTGCAATTTCTATCTTTTGGTTTAGGAAGATGCAGAGTTCGCTTGATATATGCTTGCAGGGCTTCGATGTATTCAGTTCTTATTAGTAGAGTGTGCTAAACTACGTAGTGCTCTTTTTCTTTTTCTAAATTAAGTCTCATATTTATGGTTCATTAGATCGAATTACCAATATGAATGTTATAAGTCTGTTTTTGTATTGGAATTCTATGTAGTTTCCATACTAACATAAGATAAACAGTTCATTGAAAACAAACTATTTGAAACCCAAAGATATAATTATTCAACAACGAAAACTGTGGAAAAAATGTAAACGGGACAAGATTTAGGCGTTGATACTCGAGTTCTCTTCAAACAAGCGTCCATCGAGGTCACACTTTGAATGGATATTGAATCATGTTTGTGGAACATGAGAGAAACAATTCAAAATCTCCCTTCAATCTTCATCAAAACTTTCTTTTTTTTCGCCCCTTGCTCGAGCTATATTAGGCTTCGTTTTCGATATGAGAATTAAGTATGTCATCTTCCAAAAAGCGTTCCTCATTAAGATTAAGATTTATAGTACTTAAACTAAATCTATGATCTTGCTAAGTTCCAAAAAAGATTTTATAAAAAACTCTCACGCGATCAACCTATTTCAGTGATCTCGTTTAAAATGCGACAAGATTTCATTGGCGTTTTTTAAGATAATTTATTCGACAGTACATCTCACTTATAAAATCTTCTTTTTGGTGAAGCAGCAAAATTCATAATTAATCCAGAGCTGATAAAACTTTTTGAATCAAATACCTTGAAATGTGAAACTAATTTTGTTTTGCTGCCATGTTCTTACACTAATCTTCCAAAATGAGAAGTGACACTTTCAGACCGCATTCGCTTAGCTTCAAACAGACTACACGCGACGCTTCTAAATCTTTTTTACATTCAGTTAGATTTATGCTAGATTTTCTAGTGAACTCTACAACTTCCTAAGCTAAATGTTAAATTACATAGAAAACAAGAGCAAACTCTACATCTTCTTAAACTTTATGCGATTCGAACTTGAAAGTGAAAATTGTTAAATATGAGTATTTATCAATTAAAACTTGAAATTTAAATTAATTAAGTTTTTGTAGTTCTGGAAAAACAAATAGTTTCATTTCTTAACTGTAATGTTGGCTGGAGTTTAAATTTTTAATAATATTTTAAAATTTTATTTGACTTGTGATCGCAAATGAGAAGTAGCCGTTATTTCTCGATCATAGAGATCTTAATATAAAATGAGATGACTATTGAAGATGTGAAGGTTGGGGTTGAAAGATGAGTTCCATTCACACCCACATTCAACTCATCTAGTGCTAATTGAAAAATAGTACTCTGATAATCATTTCGTAAAAACTTCTGTATTCCTCAACTTAGTTTTCAAGGAATCTATGAAAGCATTTTCTACTAGAAATAAATCTTACACAGATTATATGATGCATCATAATCCCACAACTAACTTCTCGGAACTGGGTATAATCTCTTGGATTTCAACAACTGAGTCCTATACGATTCGTTCTTCGAATTCTACCTGAATTCATCGGATGTAGACAAATCTGATAAAATCCGTTCGTCCACTTTTGACCTAAGTCATCTGAAGAAAAAAATTACTGACTTATAATTGAATGATTCAGTTTCATCGTATCTTTTTCTGTTATCTTTACATGAAATAACGTTTTATTTTGTGATGTTCTACTACTTTGTGCTTATTGACACAATCATCACTACAATGAGTAAGTCGTACATCAATTTCTGCTAATACGTTCTTCTATTATAATATTCGCCGATACATGGGTATCTCCAATAGTTGTGCAGCTGACAAACAGTTGTTTGCAAAAAGCGTCTGCTTGAAGAAGTGTAGATGAAAGCCATCAAATACACGTCGAGATGTTTCTATACAACATCGAGAACTCCTAATTACAGAAAAAAGTTACTGAAGATAGCAAAGAATAAGACCTAGTATGATGTGCAAATGCACGAAACTGCTATATTGTAGCTGAGGTGCTTTGAATATTGTTGAACGTTTGTTCGATAAAGTGACGCATCACTATTGCTTAATTATTCAATACAAATCAATAGACTGCCGTGATTATGATACATCCCGTCATTATTTTCATTATGCAAGATGACGTCATCTGATTTAGTATGAAACGTTTCTCGTTCTCATCAAAAATTATTCGTTTCCTGCTTCATGTATTACGCTGCTTATATATACTTCACAGAACAAAAAAAAAGTCCATAAGATACATTATCTCTGGTGAGAAACAAATGCGTCTTGGTATTGATTTAGAGCGCGACTGGCAAAGCTGATAAAAGAAAGAAACAATATTAGAGTACCATCTCTAAGAGGAAATTCTTCATCCCACTCATGTACTTCATTCATGATGTCAAAGAACAAATAACGTTAGTCACTGTATGTGAGGCAAGAAAACTCTAAAAAAGCTCAATCCATTTTGTTTAAAAAATTTGTCTGCCTGGGAAATATATATAAATAACATTAACGTTTAATCATATTTATCAGCAGCAAAGATCAAACATAGAAAAAATTTTCCTGTTTGTTATCCTGACCATCAACTACCGGTACGTAACCAAAACAGAGCATATAATTTGAAACTGATTAATTTTTATATAGCATATTAGGTGAGAGGGAGAGTTAAAAAGAAGTGTTGGTGATCTCTCAAAGTACATATTGGTAATGGTGACAAAGACTGTTGGATGGGTGCTGGACAAAACAGTTGGGGAACCAGCTGCCGATCCGACCGAACCTGGGCCGAACAACCTGGCATCTGGTTTTTTAATACACTTGCTGAGATTCACGACGGAAATGCTCACATTTGGCATGTCATCTCCCTCGTCGATGATTTTATATATCCGACGGCTCTTGTTTCGGTCGAAGGTGGTAGAGATAATCGTGGAAACTTGTATTGTATCAGTTGGAATGCTCTGAACGAGTGTCCGGACAACTTAAAGGTTTTGGTTCATGGGAATGTGAGAGAATGCAAAATCAATCGACGAATCCAATCTACTTCAAATCCAGGTGTCCAGACGTCTATTCGTGATCGGGAGATGATAAGTCTTCCATGGCTGATACCTGGAATCCTGACCACATGGAGATCACTTTTTGTCCGTGAACTTTGTATGACTACATACAGTGAAAAACTCGATTAGTGTATAACTTTTGAAACTGAGCAGTCTGTCATTCTATACACTCGTTTATCGTTTCGAGTGAATTTTAGTGTTGTTAAGTATCTCGTGTATTCTCACCCAGCGATTTTTTTCTGGTTTCTGTCATATCTATCGATCTTATATTATGAACATAAAGAAAAAGCAACACATGAACACATAATATATTTGCTACTGACTAGATGCAACTTAATGAACATAGTTGCTCTATTGACTGACAACAGAGACAAGAGATAGACCGAATCAGCTGAATTAGAAAACCAAATTCCGTCGAACTTTCTGTTTACGCTTCATTGATTGAATAAGTCCATGTTATTGGAAATGGCACTTGCTAGATGAACTCGTGAGCAAGTACGATTAATACGATTCTGAACTATCAATGATACTGCAGTACTGACCATTGGCTTGAAACTGTTGGCAATCACCGAAGTTGTGAGAGATGGTGACGATAAACCATCCAAGCCCTTTTTTTTCTATGTAGAAGCAACAATTCGAAATATTCAGTTTCAAAATTCACAGACAATCTATGCCGTTTGCTTTGTTAATTTTGTTGAATGTGGGTGTGTGCCACAGGGAGACACATCCCGCACTCATACTCCAGAAAAAAGTCTCAGTGAAATCTGCGTGTTTAAGTTATAGAAAGCCGTTTCCTAAAAATCAGCCTATAATAACAATGTGCAATACTTGAAAAACCAATTCTGTGGAACGGTGGAGTTTAGATTATGCAATCATCTAGTGCATGTTGACATACGTTTATGGTGCGATTTTCATGTGTATCGAACAATCGGTCTATGAGAAATCAGCTTGCCTTCGTTGAATGACGTGATTGTCCAGCAAAGTGCTCTTTTGACAACAGTTGCCACTCAGTGAAATAAGCACTTAGATGGCTCAAAGTTTGGATTTCTAAGTAAAAGCAAAAGGTGAACTACAAGATGGCATAGGCTTAAAGAAGATTTAAAAATTTGATTGCGTAAGCCTCTATCGAACTTAGTTCTCTTTCTAGTACAATGACTCCTATGCTAGACAGAATTATGACGAAGCTAAGGAGAAAGCGATTGATCTATATATGTAGTCAAGATTAGTCCAACTTCGAGCGATTTAAATATGGAAGCGAACGAATGTATATAGGTTGTTTTGATCATTACCACTTTTTTTTTAATCATTTTTATTGCATAGACGCAACATGAAGTGATCACACTAGGGTACCGAAACATCCTTCATCATGGCATTCAGCTGTTGGATATGTATCTGGAATGATTTGGGTTTCTGTGGTCAACTCGAGAACCGTACCGTCCGGACCAGGAAAGTTTACTTGAATAAAAAAGCCTTCCCAGCCACTCAACGGACTTTCAATGGTCAACGAATAGACAATGGTTATCGCAGTTTGTTCCTATTTGACATACACAAAAGAATAAAATCGAAAAAAATGATAGACGACATTTTTTTTACTTCTGTTACAACTGGAATATTGAACCAAATTACTGGGTTGGGAAAAGCTTTGACCGCACGACTGTTCTCAGCTATGAGTAGACGGAAATCACGACTATGACAAGTAAACAATTAGTTCAATGAATGAACAAAATCTATGTTCAACAAACCGTTGATTGTTAAGTGTACGAGCATGATATCCATAGGCACTGATCGGTTTGGGACCAATAGTAAAATCGACGATTGCACGGATGTAACCATGCGTGTTGTTTGATGTTTTGATCCAGTGAAGAGAAGGAAATGGTTTATTCTTAAAATTCGACAAATATAGGATGAATCTTTGATGAATCATAAAATTATCTTGCTAACTTCGTAGATGGTCAAATAAAAGCTTCGCATCGTCCAAAATAAACTAATCTCATGACCAGCACATGAATGATCTGCATTCGGTAATCGTCTACAATTTGATATCAAAATTTAATGGAGATCATTTTTCCTTTGATCACTTTCAGATACCTGAGATAAGTACCGCCCGTAGCTAATTGTAGTTCTTGCCAAAATGTGTCCTAAAAATGAAAATAAAATAAAATGAAGCTTGATTACATCAGTGAAATCCTTCGACCTCATTGTCAAGCAGAAAAAATTCGTCGCCACTGGATTGTATTTGCAAGATTTTCATTTTTGCATATCGATCAAAGTAGTCTACATGAGCAAAAATAATAACAAGAATAACACGTATAGAGCCGTATCAACATACAGTATGGATCGATAATCTCTGACATTTTGAGCAAGTTTGAATTATCAACAGATACAGTGATATTCAATTCATAGTAGTCTTTGAAGGCAAATGTCCAACCATTCAAAGACTACAAAACTCAATTACAACAGAAAATAAAATTTCATGTGTTATTTCATTTACTTACACGAAAGTGATGATGAAGACTCTATAGAAGAAAAATCGATTCGATTTATTTATTCAACAAATCAGTTCTTTCTTACCTTTTGAAAATTGGCCATATCCATCACGATAGGTATTGCACCAATGACGCGCACATTATCAACAGCAGCAGTTGTCCACGCTGAAAATTACGAAGTGTCAAAATAAAAACGTTTAAAATCAATGGAATAACTTACTTGTCCATCCGCGCTAGAATTTAACAAAATCATATAAAATATTCGGTAATTTTTTGGGAACAATAGTTTACCTTAGAAGCACCACTGATGACAAATGTCTCAGGCACAGGAATTCCCAGTTGAGCTGCAAATTGTTGCACAGCATCCATAGCGCGGATACTAGCCTGAATGGAATGAGAATAGACCCAAACTTCTTTAACAAACTATATTTTATTATACCTTGGTCATAGGCATGAGGACAAGTTCATATGGATTACTTGAATTGTCAATAAATTTCTTCCAGGTCCACGCAATAATTCCATCTTCTAAGCGGTTCCTTTCCGTTGGATCAGCCTACCAATAGATCATTCTATAAAAGCGGACTAGATTGATGTATGAAGCTTACCATGAAACGAATCGGTTCATTAGGAATAGTTTGTAAATCGACACTGATACTACCACTACTCGCACCAAGCATGGATGTTAGAGTAACGAAATTATCTTCCGGTTTTGGTATCCTTTAGAAAATATAATTGATAAAAGCTATAGATTTCATTTTTATAACACACGAACTATTCTCACGCGTCATTATTACTACCACCGTCGATCAGCATGAAAGCACTTTTCGGTCGTGTCAATCTATTGGGAACAGTGATACATACAAAATGCCACCAGATAGATCGAGTAGAGAAGCTCTCTAAGATGGAAAGAAAAATGCTGATTTATTCCTCTCTGTCTCTCTTTCATAAACCTCACCATTGAACCACTGTTGCGATGTAAAATTGAGAATGTATAGAGTGTAGTCGGGTTGCTGATATGTTTGTATCACACGCCAAGCAAAGTGCGGGTCAGGCATGTTCACATAATCATCTAACGGAGTCGATTGACATCGATCGATAATTAAGAGACTTACAACAACAATAACTATATAGCCAACTACCGATCTGGAGTGCCACATATTTGCAATGAAGAGATATGAATGAGACAAAAAGGTGTGGATATCTGGGTGCCCAAGTTTTTATTTTAAACATGCCTACATGTTTTTTTTTCTTGTGTCTTTGTTGATTATGAATTGATAACATTCACCACGTAGATACATTTGTGCGTTCTGATGAGTCGAGGCTTATCTTATAATGTTTGCATACTTGCCTAATGGATGCATTGAGAAAAAATTTTATTCCGTCAAAGTTCGTTTATATATCTATCACATGGCTGGCAAAATTTCATTCTCATGCTTCTCGATAGGACACTTTCTCATTGTGCAAAATTTTATGCTGAAAAAATATTGTATTCCGAACTTATTCAGTTTTCACATGAAACTAAAGAAAACTACTGTAGCGATATAGTTCTTTGCCCAGAGTCAAGAATCGTCTATTCGTCAACAATTGATTAAAACAAGGTATTCGGATATATTCTAGCATTATTTTTTTTCGCATCTCACCATACAATACATGAACTCATTAATTAACCATGGTCATTTCTAAGCCGACAAGAAAACGTGAAACGCCTGTTGAACCGTATTCACCACTGTCTTTCGCATGTATTATGGTATTCATTCATTTCAACAATCAGTTACCACTTGTTCTACGACCTATGAAGCAGTTTTTAGGCTCTTCTCTTCGAAAAAAACAAACTTTTTATCTGCTTTTTTTTTCGGCGCTTATTATTATTCATTTTGAGACTTATAGTCGACACTGACGTATTTTGTTATCAGGTATAACATTGATCGTTTTGTCTAAAAGAACAAGGCAAGTAGATAGACAAGTTTGTTCTTTGAGTTTTTAGGATATTAAGCAAAATCGAAAGAAAAGGTGTTATTTGTTCATCGTTTCATTTCTTTAATATTTCGCCTCTGTATCAGAAATGCATCAAACAATGTTTGCAGACTATAGACCTACGTGAGAAGTTGCTATTGTGTCTATTAAGCTCTGAAGCACCGCAAAAAAGTGTACGTGTTCTGATATTGAATGATGTCGTGCTAAATAGCCATACACAACTCCTAAGTAGTGATTATGTACTCTCAACGAGTTTTGAATTGAAACGGGGAAAAGAAATCGTTGATCTGTTGGCGAGGACGTAATATCAACTTTTCAGCAATGCGATTCGACTGAGATTGCATAAACAAATCTATGCACATCAATTTCACTGATGGTATCTGTCGTATCTGCATATTCACGAGGATTTCCTATATTCCTTGACCGACAGCTAAATACATCCGTACGCTTGATGAAAGAAAATGTCACTTGCAATAGTTGTTCTGCAACTCTCTTTTATTCGTGTAATAAATCACCTGTCTTACTTATTTGACTCTTTGATAATATTAAACGTCGTACTCATCATTGTCTTAGATAGAATAAGAAGAAAAATTGCATTTTTTTGCTCTGCAAGTTTGTACGCTCAGATCTAGTAATCATAAGAAATAGGATCGGCTAGTATTATTATTCTTCTCTACAGAATTACTCATCTTATTTGAGTTTATACCATCCAATACTAGGACATTAATTCAAAGAAGTCATGAAGGAATCACTTCCTAGTATATAAAAAAGAAGCCTTTAACTTATGCTTTCTTAATACTTATGGTATACCTCACACTTTTCTGTCTTGCTTTACAAGGAAAAGAAAGCGATTTTCACCTTGTTTTATCGTAAATGATAATCTGAGTCTTTAATCAAAACACACTGACTGCATCAATTATCTCTAGACTGAAAGACTAGAGCCTATGCATTAAGATTAAGAGTGCACGGATGTGAGTGAAGAGAAGGCTCTCATTCTTGCTTTCTAATCGACCCATTCATACCCTCAAACTCTTGGAGCAGTTAAATTTTTCCTGAAATCCTTGGTGCACCAAATTTTCACCTTTTTCGCGTTTTGATAACTATAAAGATAAGAACTTGATGAGTCTTGTCATGAAGAATGCATCGTGGTAAATGCATTTAGACAATGCATTTGCTATTGCTGGACAGTAAAACTAATCTGAAACTAGTCACTGCAAATGAAAAACGCATTTAGAATGTATGCGAGAGTAGGTAGATAAAGAGAACATGCACATATGTATCCTTCAGCAACTATTCATCCAGCCCCCCCCCCCTCCACAATACCCACTCAACCCAACAACCACACGTCCCCCCCCCCGCCTCGCACGGGTTTCTGACACGAAACTACCC